ATGAACACGATATGTTCTCCCATCTGTTTATGTCTTCCTCTATCTCATTTTTTCAGTGTCCTGTAGTTTTTTTGCATATAGGTCTTTTACCTCCTTAGTTAAGTTTATTCCTAGGTATTTTAAATATTTTTGGTGAGATGGTAAATGGTATTGTCTTTTTAAATCTATCTTTCTGTAAGTTCACTATTGGTGTATAAAAATGCCATATATTTCTTGGTGTTAATTTTGTATCCTGCTACATTGCCGAATTCATTTATTATTAAGTCTAATAATTTTTGGATGCAGTCTTTAAGGTTTTCTATGTACAGTATCATGTCATCTGCGAATAATGACTGTTTTACTTCTTTTTTCAATTTGGATGCCTTTTATTTCTTCTTCTTATCTAATTGCTATGGATAGCACCTCTAGTACTATGTCTAACAGGAGTGGTGAAAGTGGGCATCCCTGTCTCGCTCCTGGGCAAAAATTAAAACTCCTTTCCCCTAAGAACAGGAACAAGACAGGATGCCCATTTTCACCACTCCGGTTCAACATAGTACTGGAAGTGCTAACCATAGCAATCAGACAAGAAGAAGAAATAAAAGCCATCCAAATTTGAAAAGAAGAAGTAAAACTGTCCTTATTCACAGATGACAGCATACTATACTTAAGAAACCCCCAAAGACTCCATAAATATAGTATTAGACCTAATACATGAATTCAGCAATGTAGCAGGATAAAAAATTAACACCCAGAAATCTATTACATTTTTATACACCAATAATGAACTCACAGAAAGAGAAACAAAACAAAACAAAACAAAAAAAAACAATCCCATTTACTATTGCACACAAAAAAACTAAGATACCTAGGAATAAAATTAACTAAGGATATAAAAGTCCTGTACGCAGAAAACTGCAGGACATTGAAAAAAAGGGATAGAAGAAGACATAAACAAATGGAAGAATATACCATATTCATGGATTGGCATAATCAACAACATTAAAATGTCCATACTACCCAAAGCAGTCTACAGATTCAATGCAATCTTCATTAAAATAACAACAGCATATTTCAAAGATCTAGAACAAACTCTCCAAAAATTCATTTGGAATTAAAAAAAAAAGACCCTGAATAGTCACAGCTATCCTGAGAAAAAAGAACAAAGTTGGAGAGATTGCAATATCAGATATCAAGCTATATTACCAATCCATGATTCTCAAAACTGCCTGGCACAGCACAAGAACAGACATATACACCAATGGAACAGAACAGAGAACCCAGAAATAGACCCAAGCCATTATGCTCATGTTTGACAAAGGAGGCAAAAGCATACAATGGAGTCAAGACAGTCTCTTCAATAAATGGTGTTTGGAAAATTGGTCAGATAGATGCAAAAAAAATGAAACTAGATCACCAACTTACACCATACACAAAAACAAATTCAAAATGGCTAAAGGACTTAAATGTAAGATGGGAGACCATTAAAATCCTGCAAGACTCCATAGGCAGCAAAATAGCAGAATATGTCATAGCAATATCTTTTCAGACACAGCTCCTAGGGCAATGGAGACTAAAGAGAAAATCAACAATGGGACTACATTAAAATAAAAAGCTTCTGCACACCAAAACAAACCATCAACAAAACAAGAAAGCCCATTGCATGGGAGAACATATTTGCCAATGTTATCACCAATAAGTGTTTAATCTGCAACATTTACAGGGAACTCATACAACTTAACAAAAGGAAGATAAACAACCCAATCAAAAAATGGGCAATGCACCTAAATAGATACTTTTCAAAAGAAGACATAAGGAAGGCCAAGAGACATATAAAAACATGCTCAAAGTCACTAGTCATCTGAGAGATGCAAATCAAAATGACAATGCAGTACCATCTCACACCTGTCAAAATGGGTATCATAAACAAATGACAAATGCTTATGAGGATGTGGAGGAAAAGGAACCCTTATGCATTGCTGGTGGGACTGCAGACGGGTGCAGCCACTGTGAAGAACAGTATGGAGTTCCCTCAAAAAACTAAAAATGGAACTCCCATTTGACCCAGTGATCCCACGTCTAGGAATATATCCCAAGAAACTAGAAACAGCAATCAGAAAGGATATATGCACCCCTATGTTCATAGCGGCACAATTCACCATAGCTAAGATTTGGAAAGGGCCTAAGTGCCCATCAGCAGATGAGTGGATTAGAAAACGGTGGTACATATACACAATGGAATACTATGCTGCGGTAAAAAAGAAGGAACTCTTGCCTTTTGCAACAGTATGGATGGAACTGGAGAGCATTATGCTAAGTGAAATAAGCCAGTCAGAGAAAGATAAATACCACATGATCTCACTCATTTGTGGATTATAGAGAACAAC